AAATTATATCCAATTAAATAATATATTAAAAAAATAATAAAAATTGTGAAGTGACGTGTGGCCAAGTATGGTGACCCATACTCGGAATTAGTGCTCTGCATTTACCTATCCAAAGTGCACACACACAGCAGTGAACACACACAAACCGTGAACACACACCCGGAGCAGTGGGCAGCCATTAATGCTGCGGCGCCCGGGGAGCAGTTGGGGTTCGGTGCCTTGCTCAAGGGCACCTCAGTCGTGGTATTGCAGGTGGGAGAGAGTGCTGTACATTCACTCCCCCCACCTACAATCCCTGCCGGTACGAGACTCGAACCCACAACCTTTGGGTTATGAGTCCGACTCTCTAACCATTAGGCCACGACTTCCCATATTATATTATATTATATTATACTGCATAGGCCTATATCCCATGGTGCCTCATGATTTTCATATTTACAAAAAGATATACAATATACAGTATGTGTGTGTGTGTGTGTGTATATATATATATATATACCGGTGTGTGTGTATATATACATATATATATATATGCTCACGCACACAATATAAAAATATATTAATATAATTTTACATTTAACACAAGATTTCTGTTTTGCAGCATATTTTTCTACCTGATCCGTCACCACTCTCCAGTAGGTATTTAGCCTGAGGACGAGGGCAGTTATTTCATATTTCCAGCAGACAGTTACAAGAGAAAACCAGCATTCATTATGCTTATATTTGGCGGCTATTACATGAGGCATTTTTGATGGATCACTTAAACCCCCTGCTGTCATAGTTCAATTCCTGAGAGCTGATTAAATGGGGGTGCGTTGGCCAGGATGTTCCTACCGGGGATTAGGGGGCTCTGAGCGAGTGTTATTTAATTGTGGTGAAGTGGAAACACTTGAGTGAGGAAGGGTTAGTGAGGCGGGAAGGAGGACCGTTCCTGACAAATGACAGTACGCCGCGGGGCGCTTGCTGCCCAGCCCTGTGTGGACACTCTAATAAAGCAATTACACTGAGACAATGTTTGCACACTGCAGTGACATGTCTGTCCCTCACCTGCTGTGGGAAAGGTCGATACAAGGGGCAATCTTAAGCTGTTTTTGCCCACACTAAAAGTTTTTGGAATTGTATTGTACTTTTATTAGGTTTATTAAGTTACTTAAAATTTCCATAGGACCTTTTGTGTCTTTTCTTAGATTATCTAACCAATCTCACTTCGCATCCATTTACTTGAACATAGACATATGCAGTCAGTGCATATTCATTTATATGTGAATAACACATATTCAGTGCTTCATTTTTACTGTTCAATATGGCAATACAATAGGGATGCTCACTATCATGTATTACAATGTTGAATTTGCTTCTGAATGCACCTCATTTAATGATGCAATCTGTCTTCTGATTACCGTTCATGTGTAATTTAGAATTTATAACATGTAGCCTTCAGCGACAAAGCCCTCAGCACGCTGTGACTTTCTAATCAATCTCTGATGGATTTGTTCTTTGTTTTGTTTAGCTTACCGGATGACCCCACCCTCAGTACGCTGGAGGCCCTGAAAACACGCATCAGAGATCTGGAGAAGCAGCTCACACGAGGAAACAGATTCAAGTGTCTCATCTGCATGGTAAGCTTGACCTTGCATATGTATTCAAAACTGACTCAAATGAAATTAATACATATTAATTACTATTCAAATGTTTGTGGTCAGTAATAGACTTGTTTAATGTTTTGGAAAGAAGTCTATCATGTTCACCAAGGCTGCATTTATTTAATCAAAAATAGAGTAAAAACAGTAATATTGTAAAATATTATTCCAATACAAATAACTGTTTTCTATTTTAATGTTTTGAAATCGCATGCTTCTAAAGAAATCATTGCAACGTGCTGATTTGCTGCTCAAGAAACGTCTTATTTATCAATGATGAAAACAGAAAAATAAATGTTTCTTATGCACATCATTTTATTGTGTACATATACTTTTTTCAGGACTCCTACACAGTACCTCTGACCTCCATCCAGTGCTGGCATGTCCACTGTGAGGAATGCTGGCTTCGCACCCTGGTGAGATGAACATGAATCATACTGTACTTTAAAGCACAGCCATGTGATTTCAACACGTGAACCCTTTGTTATTATCAGTTGTTATTGATGGGTCAAATTATCATTCTCGCAGGGAGCAAAGAAACTGTGTCCACAGTGCAACACTATCACCTCACCTGGGGACCTGAGACGAGTGTATTTGTGAAAGGTTACAGCTGTCCAGTCATCTGCCTGTTTGCACTCTACACAAACGGATCTTTCTGGGCTGATGCAAAACTTAGAGGACGTCTTGCCCAACAGAGTCATTGCCCAAAACTTCCTGTCGGAATGCAACCCAGTTACTGTACATGAAGACCACTGTGTTCATTTCTTAATGAAATGGTAAAGTTTTAAAGCATAAATCTGCCGTAACAATATTGTAACGACAGTAAAACCGATCACCAAATGTTGTTTCTATGTATAAAACCTTGTTTTATAAAATATTGTTAAGTTATTCTCATAGAGAAAGTTCTAAAGCAAACGGTCAAATAGTTTTGTGAATGTTTACACTGAAGAGTTCTTTTCTAATTTGGATCTAGCAGTGTTAATATCTGAAATTGGTAAGCGGTTAACTTTGAAATCATTCATAAACAGTGTTTTGTGTTGAATGTGCAGAAAAGCAAAGAATCTTGTACATTTATTTTCCATGCTTATGTAACTGTAATTTAATAGTGAATGGGATCCTTTAAATATGGTTTAAGATAAATGATCATTTAAGCTGTTACACAGGTGATAGTGTAATTGTTTATATTATGCATTTTTTTGTCTCATGATGCCCTTATCCTAAGCATGCGTTAAAAAACGTTAAAAGACAAGAGACTGAATATGATGCAAAAATACAAAGTTTGTAAATTCAAAAATTGCTAACTTTATCAAACAGTTCACGTCCATAAACAAACAGTTTTTACTACAAGGTTCAGCAACAGATATCCTGAGTTGAAATTGTCCCCTGTATATTTTTGACATTTTTTGCTCTTCAACGTTAGATGCTGTGTAGATGGAATTGTCTGCATTCTTGTAATGAATTAATATTTAACCACTAACAGGTGATTGGCAGGTTATTGTATTGATATGTACTGTACAGCAGAGCTGCATCGAGGAGCACGTGCTTCCCTCCCTCAGCAGGTGGAATTAATTCTTAATGCAGGTTATGGACGATGAGGCTGATCTCTGCTTAGCCTTCACTCCTCTCCACTGACTGCCAAGCAGAATAAAGGTCTGCTGACACTGAGTCACTATAGGTTACGACATTATGACTCAAGGAACTTAGCTCAGAACTAACAGAAAAGGAGCTCAATTTCCTTTGTGGTATTTTAGCAATAGTTTTGTTACTGTCTAGACACTCTAGTAAAGTTACTACAGGTAACTGAAAGATCGTGAAGCACTTTTGATAGAACTGAAATAGAATGAAACATAAAACCAGCTTTGTTTTATGATGATGTATTTTGTACAGACTCATCTGTTTTTCTTTGACAAAAAATAAACTAAAGTTGTTGTCTTAACAGATGTCATTGTCGGCCTTAAAATGGTTTTCAGTAGGCTATATACATGAGTCAGCACCAAGGCACCAGCATTTGGACATAAATGTGGAGCTATTTAGCTGTACGTTTATGCATTTTACAGACATTTTATTCAAAGCTACAGTACTTGCATTGCATTAAATGTATAAATTTCATCAATTAATGTACTGTATTCCCTCGGAATCAAATCCATGGCGCTGGCATTGCCTGTACTTCTATTGTTTGAGCTGAGATGGTAGCAGGTACAAAAAATAACCAGCATTTCCGCTTTCCTTTCGGTCTATTTATTGCATTAACACCACCTGGCCAGTTCGTTTTAGCCATTCTTAAAGATGCCTTTAATGAATGACCTGATAAAAGGATGTCTAAGGCTGATGTCCTGACATATCTCTAATTAGCAGCAGTATATGGACACTCGTCTGTGTGGATTTAGGTTAGCGCTGGATTAGCCTAACCTTGTGCCTAATGCAAAAGGAAGTGAACTGCTGCACTACTCTAACAGTGTATTTCACTTTAAAACTCCCAAATGTGACCAAAAATTATATTTACACTTCCAGCCCCAGCAACCCTAACCAATTAAATTATTTTTGGATGCTTTTCAAGGGAGCAGAAATGTCATTACTCTACTATACGCAGCCAGTTGTGAGGAGATTTATGTAGAAATATGCAGCTTTATTTGATTGTGATTTTTTGAAGACTCTGTGGAGACTTATGAACTAATGTTCAACTTTATTTGACTAAATTTGTTTTTTGATTCGGCCATGTGAAATTTCAGTTCATTTCTCAGAGTGAGCAATAAATTCAGGCCTACACCTTTAAATAACATTTAGCTGACTATACATTGTATGAAATTGTATGATAATTTAATAACAATAATATAATTTCAGTCATTATTATTTAGCACATTGTATCTTCTTTTTCTTTCTTTTTTTAAGATCAGAACTCAAATTTGACAGTGAATTTTAGTTTTAAAATTCCACATTGCTTGAAAATATGCATAAAATATGATTCATGGTGTAGTTTGAATATAATTTCATTTTATATTTCCATAATACTATATTTATAATTTACAAAAGCATTAAATAATTTGAATTTTGCCTTATTTGGATTATTTACAGGAAAGACTGGGACTAGTTGTCACAATTTTTAGTTATATACATTGTAGTTATTTTTATATACTGTAGCCTATATGTTTAGTTTTCTATAACATTTCTCAGGCTGGATGTTAATATGGACTTGGTCTTATCTACAAAAAGCTATTGAACATTTTCACCATTATTTCTCAGGAATAACAAATGATTATGGCTTTTCAAAGTTTAGTATGATTAGTAGCCTCTTATCTCTGTCATAACAAATACACTAGACCTGCTGTTTGATTGGCTGAGAGTAAACGGAGGCGGTGGTAATTGTCACTGGCAGTAAGCTGTGGCAGTTAGAAACACACACTTACATACTTCACCATCTAACCTGCACAGACAAGGTAAGAGGCTGAGCTGTCTTTGCTTTTTTCTGGTGTTCAAAATTTAGATGGCAAAATGTATGGTTTATTGTAATGTAAATGGTTTTAATAACAAATGGTTTTATTACACAGTGATCAGTCTGAAAGGATACTGGACACACATTGGATTTTTATTCGTTTAATTTGTAGATGCATATTCATTTGTGCTTCTAAATCAATTAAAATATGAATTTTAGTTTTTAAATTTCATGTTGTCTTGAAAATAAAAGCACACTTTAAATATTCTTATTTTTTATTTTTTATTTAAATTTTTAATTATTAATTTATTTTTATTTTTAATATTTTTTATCATCATCATAAGACAGAAACACTTGAACATGCAGTAGCCAAAATATGTCATTAGGGATATTTGATAGAATAAACAAAGAATAGTCAAAATGAACAAACTGCTAGTAGGCAACTGTATATTTATTCTAGAGTTTTCCCAGATCAGACTGAGTGTCCAGTTGGTTCGTCTAGTCTCCAGCAGAGTCCCTAAAAAATGGACCGGACATGATTCCAGACAGACACTGTAGAAAACATTAAGACAGGCTTTAGGTCAGTGGGCCTTTGTCATTAGGCTTACATGCTGGGTAATCCTCTTCATTGGCCTAACCTGACTTCATTAAGACATTTTCATGGCACGTTACATGAACATGTAAATCCTTTGCTAAATTGCATTATTATGAAAGGCAGACTCTCCAAAGTTCATTTATAACACCTCACAAACAACTTTTTTTTTTTTATCTGACTTGAGCCAGCTGGAACATCAACACATTCAAACATTTTAAAGTTACTTTGACGACTTCCATGGTTCCATTCTGTGTTATAAACTATGCAAAATAAATGAATAATAAATGCTTCTTAACCAGGAAATAGGGATGTATTGTTTTGTTTTACTTCGTGTACCCTGTTCTCTATTACAAGACCCAGTCCACAGAGCTCAAAACAGAATCACTAATCACCCGGATCAGTAGATTAGTTCCTGAGCTTCTCTCTTGGAGGGACGCAGGCATGCAATAGGCTCAGTGTCTGCCCATGTCAGCTTCTCTAGCTTATAGCACTCTCTCTCTCTCTCCCTCTCTCTCTCTCTCTCTCAGCTGGGCACCAAGACAAAAGCTTCCAACTACTTGACCTAATCCGTGTTCAATACGGAAGGTTTTTGTTTGTTGTGATTGAATAATAAAGACTTTTATGTACGATTTAAGAAATGACACTTAAAATACATCTTTTGTAGCATTTGATGTCAGAATGTAGTACCATGCTATACAGTATAACTCTAAAAACAAACTAAATCTCTCTTGAACTATTATGGATTCATGGTCCTCATTACAAGTGAATCTGTGTTTAATGTGTAATCTATTTTTCATTTTCTTTTACTTTGTTTGTGTTTTGAGGATGAAGCATGTCATGCAACCTATCCGTGTTGGCATCTGTCTAGTTGGCTGCTAGTGACAGATGGATTTCTGCCAAAATACTGTAGAGTCTGATTGAACACATGACTTTTGATGTCAAAAGATATGGGAAGCATTTCACCTGCCTTGTAAAAGATGCTATGCTTTTTTAGCTGCATTTAATTACACTTCCTTAATTAAAAAAAATTAAATAAAATTATATATGAGAGAGAGAGAGAACAGACATTTTAAATTGTCATACTATTTCACAATATTGCTGTTCTTACTGTAACTTTTGAACAAGAGTAGCCTATATACTTTAAAACATTTTTAAAATTTCCCTGCTATCTACAGACCTGCGACTCATTGAAAAAAATGTGTTGCATATAGTAGTTACTATATTATATAGTAATATAAACCTTCTACAAAGTAGTAGGTTTGTAGATTTAATCACCAAAACACTTAGCTTAAAACATCTCACATACACTTGAACAAACAAACAAACCTGTTTTGATTGTCTCACAGAGAAATGTCAGGACCCAGGCCTGTAGTTCTGAGTGGCCCATCAGGAGCTGGAAAAAGCACCCTGTTGAAGAGACTCATGAAAGAATATGAAGGGGTTTTTGGATTCAGTGTCTCCCGTATGTAACATTACAGACAAATTAGACACAAGACGAGTAACCAAATGACAAGAATGCTGGATGAATATTTTGATACCTTGATCTTTCTTTCTGCAGACACCACCAGAAATCCTCGGCCAGGAGAGGAAGATGGAAAAGGTAAGGCAGAATTCCCCACTTAACAACTATAATAAATGAGAGGCTTGCTTTATCACAGAAACAAATAATGTCAGATACGAGTTCAGAAACAGAATAAATAACAAACTGAAATATATACCTGATTCTACTTGCCCAGTGTAGAAAGTGAATGAGAGAAAGATAAGCAAGTGGAGCATACACCACCTACATTCCCATCCAATTTGAAAGCCCTTTCTGCCTTAGTCCATAACTGTCTTCTTTGTTGCTTCTTACTCCCAAGTGAACTGTTTTAATTAAATTCCAAACATATCACCACATTTCACAGGGGCAAATTTCTCTTTTTATTCCCCAATGTGCCTTTGTCGTTTTCTCTAGGGCTGAATTGTCTCCCAATGCTTCTGGGGGCTACTTTACTTCCTGTAGCAGACGTCCTGTCCTCTGAGACATCTGAAGGTGTAGATTTGGTTTCCATTATTGGTCGTAATTGGTTATTACTGATTATTGGCATATCTAATGTGATGAGAAAGTAATGGGGGTTACTTTCATCTTCTAAAATCTATAACTTTGTAAGCGAATTACATTTCAGGCCAAAATGACAAGATATGATTGACATGTTCTCTCTGACATAAATGCCAGTGTGCACTTTGGAGTAAAAAGCCTTTGAAAATAGCCCCCTGTGTTCCCTAGGTTTTCTATGTGATGTGAACTATGGCATCACACACTCCCCACAGCACAAATTCCCCGAGACAATCATTAGCATCAAAACAACAGAGCTTTAAAATCATTTCTGGGCCATTTAATGAACAATCAAAATATTTCTCAAATCTGTTTAGGTCACATGGGCAAATAATTTTTTTTCTGCACAATTTACACAAATAAATTAAATGGACAATTAAGTCTCCATTGCAGTGCTGCCACGGATGATGTCAGTGTTTTGCCCTCCTGTAGTTGTGAATTGTTTGTCTTGTGTTGCCTGCAGAACCATTACTTCCCGCTTTAGATCCCCTCAGATGTGCTGTTGTGGAGTTAAACCATCAGAATGGTATGAATCCAGCACTGGAGCTTTCTCATGACTTCTTTGTGAGATTATTTTATGTGCGAACACATACGGTGGTCGAGAAGTGCAAAACAAATCACAATTCTGAAAACAAAATAACAAATTACAAACGCAAATGCAAATGCAAGTCTAAAAAACAAAATAAATATTCAGAAAACACAACAACAATTCAGAAAACATTATAACAAGTCAGAAAACACAATGACAAATTCGAAAACAAAATAACAAGTCAGAAAACACAACGACAAATCAGACAAACCGGAAGAGGTAGGTATAGTTTGAGACCGCGCCATTGGTTTGGGATTACTCACCGCTGACTGGACGAGACATCTGTCAATCAACTTATACAGAGAAGAACCAGCCGAAGAACAGCAGAGTCGTGGTAGAAAGTTCGGAGATGGTATTAAAGTAGCTCCGTTTAAATGTATTGTATGAATTGCCCTTACTATGGAATAAAAAATACTGGGTGTCTATTTAGATTTAGTTACAAGTGGCTTTCTGAATTGTTATTTTGTTTTTTAGACTTGCATTTGCGTTTGTAATTTGTTATTTTGTTTTCAGAATTGTGATTTGTTTAGCACTTCTCGGCCACCGTAAACACAGCTATTTTTGTATTTTTGAAGCTTAGAGTTTAGAAGTTTCATTCACACCATGCCCATCATATTTAATAAGATCAACCATTTTAACGCCGTATCATAGGAACGGAGTTCGTGAAATAAACATTTGCTGCCCTCTGCTGAGCATAAAGAATTCTGTTTTGTTTAGCAGTGAAAAGACTTGAAACGTCACATAGAAATTATTTGATCATTTAGTCATCCTCTGAACATTTCTTTTTTTAATATAAACCTTTCTTTTAATAGTTTACGAGTACCTGGTTAATAGAATATATAAAATGAACACCCTTTCAGCTCATTTGATGACTAGCAACAGACCAGCTTACAATGTCCCCTTGTTAACAGTCACAATTTGTTTGGTTTTACAATTAATCTTCATTTATTTCTGTCCTCAACCCAGATTACCACTTTGTCACCAGAGAGAAGATGCAAGAGGGAATTGACAATGGTGAATTCATTGAGAATGCAGAGTTTTCTGGGAACATGTATGGAACCAGGTACATTTTATTTGTAAATCGACATCTTGTGCATTATCCTCTTAATTCAACACAGAGGTACTTCACTGCTAATTCTGTGTCTTCATACCAATGCACAATAGTAATGATTTTGAAGTAGCTAAGATTGTCCATAAGCGTATTGTCGATAACAACAAAAAATGTAAATGTTATTGCTCATCAAATTTACTATCACTTGCAGCAAATCATCCATAGAAGATGTTCAGGCACAAAACCTCATCTGCATCTTGGATGTTGACATACAAGGAGTGAAAAACATTAAAAAGACTGATTTGAACCCCATATATATCTCCATCCAGCCACCTTCAATTGAGATCCTGGTAAGTTGATAGAAATATTCTCAGTTTTATTATACAGCATTTAAATTGTGATCAAATACAGGAAGACGTTTTATTGTCCTACAGGAAAAGCGTCTGAGAGACAGACAAACAGAGACGGAGGACAGTCTACAGAAGCGTCTGGAGGCAGCGAGGATTGACATGGAGCTCAGTAAGTGACACTTTCAGTAAGTCGGTTGTGCTTGAGCAAAACCCTTTATTCCCTTGCAATTTTCTCCTCTGTAGGTGAGGAACCGGGAGTTTTTGATATGGTAATCATTAATGATGACCTGGAAGAAGCCTATGAGAAACTCAGAAGTGTTCTTATTGAGGTAAAACTATTTTACATCTGTAAAAAGATTGCATATAGTTTTTCTTAATTTCATAAATAAATAACACTGAGTTGTTGGGTTTTTCCAACAGGAAATTGAGAAGGTGCAAGATGCCAAGAAATAGGAAAGGAAAAGCGGCACTTTTGACCATTCTGCCCGACAACACAGGACATGAAGCCTTTTTTTCCAGGCTTGTACGGTGCAATCATGGTGTTGGTTCTCATGTCAGACTCTAAAAACTATTCACTTAAATGGCTAATCAAGATGGGTGCTATGTTCAGAGGAGTGTGCTATAGAGCTTTTCTCTGTGGGTGAGAAAAAATCTATGCATGTATGTTAAAAACATCTCACTTCAATTGAAGACTCTTCTCTATTAACTCTCTCGAGCATGTTTGCACCTTGAATAATGAAGGGATAAAACTGTAACAAATACGAGTTCAGTTGATGATGATAGTTTGTTTATCATCAGCATGTTAGTTCTATAGTAGAGAAATGATTGTTTTTAATATGTATGATCTTTGTAGAGAGCTATTACTGCATGTTTGATTCTCAGTTAGCCTTCAACATGTGAATGTATTCAGCTGAATGGTTAGTTTGAGTTGCACCTTCATGTTTCTAAACTTGTGTTGAATATAAAACAATGTCACTTTGAGTTAGCTGAAATAAAATAAAATGAGCTACAGCTACATTAAATCATTTCTCCATTATCGTTTTTCTAATTCTCTTTTAATGTCAACGTGAAAGTGAAATAAAGTTAATAATCTCCTAGTTGATTGTGTTATAAATAAATATAGCATTATAATATGCAAAGATGTTAAACATATAAATAACACGAAGCACATTTTTACGCCTCTGACATCAGTTGTTCCCATTCCCAAACGCCCACCGTAAGTGTCAGTAACCATGGCAACTGCAAACATCAGTAACCATGGCAACTGCAAACATTGGCGGAAGTGAAGGTGAGAAACCATGTCGTGGTTTGTAAATAAGCTGTTAGCTGGAAAACAAATATGATATAGATTATAAACCTGCTATTGTTAAGGTAAGATTTTTCCGTTTTAAGTGTGCATTATAAAGCAAATGGCAAACAGCCACAATCCGACAAAAAGCTGTTTTATTACTGTAAACAAAAAGTGTACTGGCACAGTAATTACGTTCGGGTCCTTCCACCTCTGGAGAAATGGATAATGTGTAATATCTGATGTTTTTGGTGAAATTCTTTGATTATGGTTCGTTTTTATATTCAGACAGTAACTGGGCTTTTCTGAATGAACCTTTAGAAATAATGTACAGGCCTGATACAGCATACAGTTGTCACAAGCACTGTATCTCATAATGTATGACACATTTTGATAGATAAAATGTTTTATGTGTTGTGCTTTTATACTTCTGAATCTATTAAATATATCTAAATATATCTTTGTTCTGGATCTATTATTGACAATCTCTGCTGGACAACTGTTGAAAAAATATCACTTACTGCACGCAATGGGGAACCAGGAACATGCAGATTCCCAGAGACAAGCCAGCCTGGCTTTGGAGGTTCAATTAAAACTACCCCCTACACACACTCACTCATTCTTGCTTATGCTGATTCTGCATCAGTCAAGTAAATGCAGTATTGGGCAAGCAATAGACCAATGAGAATCTGATATTAATGTGTAATATCTGTTTAGCATTTTGTGCGCATGTATCCAGTGGTGGAAGAGCATGTATGCAGAGCAATGGGCACCAGACTGTTTGAGTCTTTTATGGTAAGGTTTTATTGTGGTGTGTGTGTATATATTTCAATAAAAATATCAATAGTCATTATAAAAATATTAACTTTAAAATGTGTTTGTTTGCATGTTGTTTATAGCACAATGCTGATGTCCTACATTTGAACATGGATGACATTCAAGCTGACATTTTACGCTCAAATAAAGTGAACATTTCATGTGGTGAGTCGACAAATCTAGAGAGACATAGCTAGGTTGTATGTTTTTTGTCTTTATTTGAAAGACACCAGTGCTTAATTACAATGTCCTTTCATCTTCCTTTTATTTTTCTACAGTGCTTGAGGAACAGAATTCAGATTCTTGAACACAAACTTTTTTTTCTTGTTGTTGATGGTGTTTTTATACATAAAATAAGTGATTACAAATAACAGTCTTCTATAGCATATTTCTTTGGTTCAATTTAATATGGATGCACTAGAAAACTCAAGCATTACATTATAAAATAGATTGTAATGTCTATGTCATGTAAGCATCATAAAGTATGCTCACTTTAGCTAATAGCTATATTTAGCTATAACTCTTGAAAGAAATTAGATATTTTCGCCAAACTTGGTACACATCTGTATGAGCTTATTCTGTGGTGAAATAAAAAAAATGCAGCGTTTGGCCATTTGGTGGCGCTATAATAACAAAAACAAACTAAACAAATGGCTATAACTACACTTTACACAATTAAAGTGAGTATTACGTTTTGAATATTTATATTTTTCTTACAAAAACGCATCGATTCGCTACAGGAGGCCTTTGTTCACCCCCCGGAGTCGTGTGCGGCAATTTTTTATGGTTGGGCGCTTTTTTTTTTTTACTTCTTTTGGACTAAAGCACTGCAACACCCGCTGACTGCAGTGATAGAAATTAGAATAGCCAGGACTCCGACTGGATTCGTCTGAAGGAAGAAAGTCATATACACCTAGGATGACTCTGGGGTGAGTAAAACACAGCCTAATTTTCATTTTTGGGTGAACGAACCCTTTAAGTATCAACTTGGTCTCAGATGTTTCTCCTAAAATTGCTTAGGAGAAATAAAATGGATATAAATGAGACGGTCAAAATACATGACGTATAAAGTCACCATCATTGTTGGTTGTTGAAACCAATCAGCAAATGTTTTCTCAGCACATTTTTTTGTGATGAAAAGATCATTCATTAGTTGCAGCAAGGTTGTCATATAATGATTTTGCTTGAAATTGATTCAGTGCTAGTAAGTATGTAAGTCATGCCGCAATGCATTCTGGGTACATAAACTCATCCATGACTGTTTGTCGCCACTGCTGATGTTTGTATGTGGAGTGGAGTGTCTCAAGTTCGTCTTGCTGGCCAGAAAAAACATTTTGACGTACATTTTTCCATCATGACAGCTGCATCTGCTTAACCAAACATCTCTATAAACTATTAACAACATGTCTTTATTGCACACTAGTTCAAAAACTGCACATCCATCATTCTCTGTGATCACAGAGAAATAACGTTAATTAAAGCTGAGCACCAATAGCCCAACCAAACCAAAATCTATCTTAACAAAACCACACAGATGAGTCTGGATGAAGCCCAAATCCAGCATGTAGAGGTTGTGTGAATGTTGTGTTGAATGTGTGTAAGTGTGTGAGTGTGTGTGTGTCAGAGACGCTGTAGAAGGACAGAGTGCCGGCCGGACAGTCCACATACACACCTACTCTATTAGATGGGAACGGAGCAGGTATATCTGTGCTACTTTTAGCATGTATTGCACAGTAACTGCTATCTGTGCATACAAGAGTCCAAACCTTTTCATTGTATCCAAAAAAACAATCATTATTGTCGCCTTTTCTCTTTATAGATTTATATACCATCGATGTATAAGCCACGCCGCTCCATTCAGCCTCCCAGTAACAGCGTCCAGTCAGACTCTCTCTACTCAGAACATTACAATATTCATCAAACCTGTCTGGATGATCTGGATACACCTGCTTCTCTTTCACATGAGTCACTAAACGATTTCCTTTAGACAAAGCAAGATGATGATGTGCCGTGTTTGAATCCATAGTGAGATAACAGGAGTCTGTAAATGAGACATTATACATTAATACATTAATAACACGGTGCAGGCGCTGAGTGAGGCTTGATGTGAAAACATGTCAAAGAACAACTCCCACTTTAATCCGAGGATAGGTTGCACCAACTGGATGTAAAAAATCTAGATGTAAGCCCTATGTGGTGTTTAACTACATCAAGATTAGTGATAAAAATGTACACTTGTTGACCAATCTAAAACTATGACTAGGCGCAGCTACACTCAGGGTACAGTAGATGAAGCTCGTCCCAGCAAACTCATTCTGCCACCATGATGCTGTCACAGACTTTCAGTTTATTTTCATCTTCATGGACAATTAGTTTTGTTTTCAAGGACTTCTGATTGGTTATCTTCAGTCACATATTTTCCTTTGTTCAGTTTTCCCGCCACTCTTTAGTTGTCATGGTATCCATCTAATCAGCTCAGGTGTTAATCATTATTTCATTCATTTGGTTTGTACTTAAGTTCCTGTCTGCACACTCTTCAGTTGTTCTGGTATTGCTTGTGTGCTACCACACTGTTACGCTATTTTGAGTATTTTGGAGTTCTTTAATAAACTCGTTTGATTTTTATTCGTCATCTTTGTCTTCATTTTGGACTACACGTGACAGATGCCAGTGTGTTACTATGGTAAATTTACGTTTACTGCATCCAATGATACATGAAAAATGGTGAGCTTAGAAAAAATAATTACTCACAGGATGAAACAAGGGAAATTATAGCACATTTCTGTAACAACAGTCATTGAAGCGCTGCTCTGTTCCCATCTCTTTCATGTATAACTGCAGTGATAATTTGTTGATTATTAATTCAAACAACTCAGCACTGCTGAAACCAAAGATTTTAGTAAAATTTCTCTAGCCATATATGTATTTTAAAACATTGCCGCAGTCTCATGACTCTTTCACACATAAAATTCCAGCTTATTGTGTAGCCTGTATTAGACACGTCATTGTCTCAATGTTTTAATGTATTTTATTTTCTCTATAGGAAAAATTTTAAGACTTGAGGTGTAAGACTGACACTCAATATGCCAAGATGGTACAACGGGTACAAATATTATGCAGGGCATTTTATGTTCCGGGTATATGTCCAGCTAGTGCAACCTGCCCCAGATGACTGTCATTTGATTCCTCACAGACTGACCTTTTCATATCCTTATTGTTTTAATTACAAGTTAATACATCTAATTATAATATGGTACATCTTATGTGCTGATGTGTTTATTAAAACTTACATTTTTTCAGTCCTGGTGTTAGTCTGCTCTCTCCGCCGTAATCCAACCTATAGACACACAAATGGTCATATGAATGGATCTAGATAAAATACAATGAAATGATGCTGTATGCATGTTTACAGACTATGTTGTACATACTTGAGTGTCTCCAGTGTGTAGTTTGGATCATTTAGATGAGAGATCAGCTGAACTCCTGAGTGTTGTGGGTGATTGTATCTCAGATCCAGCTCTCTCAGGTGTGACGGGTTTGAACTCAGAGCTGAAGCCAAATAATGGCATCCTTCATCGCTCACCATACAACCTGACAACCTACAGGAGAAAAACATCATCTTACATACAATTCATTGTATATTTTACTTTGATAAATCAGTGTATAGAGATAAATACCTCAGTATGTGTAGTTGACAGTTGTGACTCTTGAGAGCATCAGAGATCAGCTTCACTCCTGAATCCTGCAGGTCATTGTTACTCAAATCCAGTTCCCTCAGAGGAGAGTTTGATGATTGGAGAGCTGAAGCGATGATATCACACGACTCAACCGTGAGATTACAGTCAGCAAGTCTGCAAAAAAGTTATATTATTTTTAGACTATTATATATGTTTTATCAGTTATGTTTTGTTGTATAACATCAAGAAAAATCTAATTACTCTGCCTCATTTTTGCTACACTTGTATTAGATATAGTGGGCTGGTTAGAATTTTGTTAGTTATTTACTAGGATGAAATGTCTTAAGGTCTTCTGAAGATAAAAAAAACTGAAACTCCGATGACTGCACCTTAGATTGAACATGTTTATTGTATTTATACTTTGTTGAATATTTGCCTCTATATTTTACATATAAAAAGCAAAGTAACCAATTAAATTCTTTAAAAAAAAAAAAATTATTAGATCAGACTTGACTTGCTTTACCTGAGAATAATAATTAGGTTAAAGGTAATAAGATAAGGTACAGTACACGACACAAAACAGTTTGTAGGCAAAAACCTATGATGTGTTGGTTTGAACTTGTATACAATACTGCATTTTCTCTTTGTCATATCATGCTCCCAATCATTCTGAAATGTTTCGAAACATGTTATAAATGCTTTTCTGCAGCAGCAAGCAGTCTTTGTAGTAACTATGCAACTAAATTACTTAAGTAACTAAATCAGGGGTAAGCAACGTAGTTCCAGGAGTGCCACTTTCCTGCATTTTGTTTGAGCTCCAACCCTAGAAAAAAACTCACCTGCCTGTAGCTTTGGTAATCTTGAAGATTAGCTTGTTCAAGTGGGTTTGATTAGGGTTGGAGCTAAAATCTGCAGGGCATCGGCACACCAGGACCGACGTTGCCTATCCCTGAACTAAATAGTTAAGTAACTAAATCACAATGCAAAGTGATATTGATAAGTTCATACCTCACTTCTTTAGGATCAGTGCAGCAATAAATTTAGCCACTACTAAAGTGCTAATGTCTACCTTGAAAGTAATGGGCCACTGGTTTTCTGCAGGCTTGAATGATATAAGAACAATATAAGCCAAAGGCAAAAAAAATTATGATGCCCAAAAAAATTAATGAGCTCTTAATCTATTGTAACTTTTTTTTATTAAAGTTCTTCTCCAAGGCGCTATCAGCATGTTTTTTTTCCAGCACCTAGCAGTTTGCTCCAGTAATTCCATCACACTTATGATACACACAACTGGCAGCATACAAAATTTTCTTTCACTATTAATTAAACCATTTTGCAGAAAGCCCGGCACACATAGTCAGTAAGTCAGTCATTTTAAAAACACACATGGGTAGCAGACAAATACATATTGAACTGTGTCCGATGGTGTGACAAAACAATTCGGAATTTTTTTTTTAATATACAAATAAAATGAGAAATATATATCTTCATTCTTGCAGTTACAAATAGCATGAGAGAGGTTTATCTTCATTGTTAGAGGTTGTTGTTGTTTTTTTAAACATGTTTGCTGTTACACCATAGGACACATTTATTTGTCAACTACCCACATAGTCTTTTCTGCCATTAGAGTTAAGTAATTCCAATAGCCCCTCACTGCAGAACAAAGATCCAGGGGCGGGGTTGGATCCACATCTAGGGGGTGGAGATGGTAGGTTTAGGGGTGGAGATGGGTGGAGACGGGTAGGTTTAGGTATGCCTAAGGTGGGAGGAGTTGGATCTGGATCCAACCTCACCCCCTGGATCTTGTGTTCTGCAGTGAGGATCATCTCAATAATTCGGCAAAGCAAGCAAAGGCACACATAGTAAATACACACTCGGGTTCATGGCTCATTGAAGCAGCAGCAGAAGCACACAGATCTTGGTGGCCAGATCTGCACTCATTGGGGGGGGTTGTGGGCTGCTCATGTTCAAAAAAAAAAGATTGATTCAATCTAGTGGGAATAACTTGACTGATCTGCATAAAACCCAAACCTGAACCCAGCTGAACACCTTTGGTATGACTTGCAGGCTATGAGCCAAAGGCTTCATCTCAATAATTCGGCAAAGCAAGCAAAGGCACACATAGTAAATACACACTCGGGTTCATGGCTCATTGAAGCAGCAGCAGAAGCACACAGATCTTGGTGGCCAGATCTGCACTCATTGGGGGGGGTTGTGGGCTGCTCATGTTCAAAAAGAAATGATTGATTCAATCTAGTGGGAATAACTTGACTGATCTGCATAAAACCCAAACCTGAACCCAGCTGAACACCTTTGGTATGACTTGCAGGCTATGAGCCAAAGGCTGCGTTTACACTTGGCATTAACATGCGACCTGTATCCGGATGTTGTCCACATACACATTGAAAAGACAAGTTTAAACGCGCTTCTGATCGGAATGCTATTAACAGTGTGCCGTGATCTCATCTTAACAGTGTGCCGTGTCCTGATTGACTGATGATCCGATCTGCTTGATCAGATCACGGTGATCGCATATGTTAATGCCAAGTGTAAACGCAGCCAAAAACGTATCACCCAAAAACAGGGATGGGCAACTCGGTGCAATGCGTTTAGTTCCAACCTTAATCAAACACACCTGAACCAGCTAATCAAGACCTTACTAGGCAGACTAGAAACTTTCAGGCAAGTGTGTTGGAACTGGTTGGAGCTAAACTCTACAGTGGCCCTCCAGGACCAAAGTTACCAGTGCCTGACCCAAACCCATCAGTGACTAGTATACAAGATTACAGTCATTTCAAAACAGAAAAAGGCCCTTCCAAACTCTTGAAACGAAGATGGAAACAAAAGTCTTTTAAAATGATATTTAATTGTATATAATAATTATTTGTTTTGTTTGGATTTGAAGAAAAATATAAACATGTTTATTTGAAGGGGGAAATACTTTTGGCAATATAGTGCATGATTTTATTTTCCACTGCAGGGCTGATAACGGAGCTCTCATCTTAACAGTGTGATATCTTGAGAGGTGATGTCACTTCTCACATTTTCTAGCACAATTCTTCACAGTTAAAAAAACATGCTGAGAAGTCTAGGCCAGGAATGGTTTGTAATTGTGCAGTTTCTGACTCATGTGGAAACAACTGTATCCATTCCAGAGCGTTCTTAGAACCGTTCGACATGACAGTGGAAATGCTTAAACTGACACTATCTCAACAAGAGAAAGACTACCTAAAAGTAGAAAATAAATAAAAATATACTCACAGAGCTCTTGTGCAGTTGTTGACAGCTGGTGTGAGTCTTCTTCTGCCCTCCTCTGTTGTGTTATATTTCTTCAGATCAAACTCATCCATCACCTCCTCTGACACCTGAAGCATGTAGGCTATTGCTGAACAGTGAGCAACAGAGAGTTTCTTCTCTGAGTGTTTGTCTGATCTCACAAACTCCTCAATCTCTCTGTACAGAGTCTGATCATTCACTTCAAGCAGACACAGAAACAGATTAATGGATCTCTCAGCTGAGATATGCTCTGAAGTACTCATGGTTTTGATTGAATCTTTGACGTGTGCTGTGATTTCCTTGATGGTTTCTGAGGTGTTCACCGTGTGTGTCAGTAGATCCTGTAAGAGTCTCTGATTGGACTCCAGTGAGATGCCCAGCAGAAATCGCAGGAAAAGATCCAGATGACCAGTTTCACTCTCAACAGCTTTATCTACTGCACCTTTGAGAAAGCTATAAACCAAATCAACAAACTGCAATTTGTCAAGTTTTTTGCTTACATCACAGTAGAACGCATAGAATGCAGCGAGGAACTCCTGAAAGCTGAGATGTATAAAGCAGTAGATTTTCCTCTGACGAATGACAGATTCCTCCTTAAAGATCTGAGTGCAGATGCCAGAATACAGTGAGGCAATGTCAGTGACGTCTATCCCACACTCTCTCAGATCATCCTCATAGAACATCACATTGCCCTTCATCAGCTGTTTGAAAGCCACTTCAGCCAGTTTCACAATCACTTCTCTGTTAAACTGCAGGAGTTTCTCTGGGTCTCTCTCTGGATCATACTTCTGACTCTTCATCTTCATCTGAATCAGCAGGAAATGGATGTACATTTCACTCAGAGTTTGAGGGATTTCTGCTCTCTCGTTGTCTTGTTTCAGGATGTTTTCAAGCACAGTGGATGAGATCCAACAGAAGACTGGTATGTGACACATGATGTGGAGGCTTCTCACTCTTCTAATGTGTGAGATGATTCTGCTGGCTTGATGCTCATCACAGATTCTCTTCCTGAAATATTCCTCCTTCTGAGCGTCATTGAATCCCTGGATTTCAGTCACACGCTGGATGTATTTGGAGGGGATCTGATTGACTGCTGCTGGTCTGGAGGTGATCCAGATGAGAGCAGAGGGAAGCAGATCACCTTTCATGAGGTTTGACATCAACACAGACACTGATGAAGTCTCAGTCACATCACAAACTTTCTCACTGTCATCTGAAAACATCAGCGTCATTCTGCTTTCATCCAGACCATCAAAGATGAACACAACTTTACATGCATCATAAATCTTTGAGTTCAGATCTTGAAGTTCAGGATGAAAGTCCAGCAGAAGTTTGTGAAGACAGTAGCGATCGTATCGGATCAAGTTGAGCTCTCGAAACGGAAGCACGAACATGAAATCTACGTCCTGATTGGCCGTTCCCTCGGCCCAATCCAGAATGAACTTCTGCACAGAGACTGTTTTTCCAATTCCAGCGATGCCTTTAGTAAGAACACTCTTGATTTTCTCTCTTTGATATTGTGCTTCAGGTAAGGCTTTAAAGATGTCATTGCAGTAGATTGGAGTGTCTTGTAAGTGTTGTGTCCGGGGCTTTTTCTCCATGTGTAAAACCTCATGTTCTTCATTCACTCCTTCCCTCTCTCCTTCTATGATGTACAGCTGCGTGTAAATTCTCTTCAGGAGGGTTTGATTCTCTTGTACTTTGATTCCCTCAAATAAACTCTCATACTTGTTCTTCATGCTGGTTTTGTGTTTGTCTTTCACTCTCTGCAGTTCTTTAGTCTCGTCCAGCAGGTCTGATTCTGTCTTGTTCTGGGTCTGACAGTAGGGGTGAGTATTGTTTTGTCTGGAAAGCATCTTCAGACTGCTGAGAAAAGAGCAGCAAAAAACAATGACTGTCATGTGAGCAATGTTTGACCACCATCATGGAAATTACACACAGGGATAGCCATTATGGATAATGCTATAAGGCAATGTTCACAAGCAGTGGAAAATCATTTCCAGTAATATTTAGGACTCAGACACACTTTGCTGAATTCCCAATTCAGTCCCAAATGCTGAATTGTGTGGTACGGTGTAGTATAAATTCACTGTGATTAGTTTTATAAGTGTCTAGCAAATGCTAAACTGGCATTCTTTCTGTACCTGGGGTCAGAGGACAGAGGCTTGTTTTTATGAACTTAGCATCATCATTTGTCAATTGCTTTCATGACAGTAAAGTATGGGCCAACTCTATGGAACAAGGAGCATATCCTCTTTTAAAAGCCATTTGTTGGCACTGATGGGAAACACAACGGTTGTGTCCACACCTTCCAAATCTAAATGTCAGTACTTGTTAGCATTTGTTGGGGGCAGTGTGAAGCAGCCTTTACTGTACCTGGGGTCAGCGGTCACGGCTCCATCAGGTAGTTCTGGGGGTTGCACCATAGATCTGTTGCTCTTCAATGACACATAGCTGGGTTCTGGAGATGCTCCTCTGGGTCTTTTCCTGCTGAAGATACTGACAAAATACAAATAGTGTTTTAGACCTGTCTGCTATTCGTCTACTAAACTACTGTCCTAAGCACTCCATAGTGTTGTACAGGGCGGTGCTGTGCACATACATTTTGAGGGGCAGAAAAAAAAATAGAGGACGCACCTTTCACAAATGTATAGAAAAGTTAGATACAAATCCACATCTTTTAATTTTTTATTTTTTCAAATTCTTCCATTTAAACAAATTCATTTAGAATAAGACACTATAGAACCATTATCAATAAATCAGTGTCATTACAGTCATCAGTTTCTTGCTGTACCTGAGGTCAGAGGTCACGGTTCCATCGCTGAATGCAGAAGGAAAGTCTTTGATGGACTGATCGCTCTTCATTGACACACAGCTAGGTTCTGGACATGCTCCTGTAGGTAATTCCCTGCTGATGATATTGACAAAACTGCATTTCAAAGCCCTAGTAGTGACGATTCTCTCCGGCCAATCAGTGATCAGCAAAGTTTACACGTCACGTTTTGGTAACGGTATGGCTCACTTGGAACCTCAACAGAGGTGGTACTGAAAAAAGTACCAGGTACTGTACACAGTGGAAAACCCCCCAAAAGTGAACCGTACCGAACCGTACCATGCAGTGGAAAAGTGCCATTACTGTCTTACTCTACCTGGGGTCAACGCTGAATGCAGAAGGAAAGTCTTTAATGGACTGATCACTCTTCATTGACACACAGCTGGGTTTTGAAGATGCTCCTCTAGGTATTTTCCTGTTGATGATATTGACAATAGCACTAGCATCATTACAAACCTGTCTGATGTTTGTCTGTTAATCTTTATTTCAAAGATTAGTGTTAGTGTCAGTAGTTTTAGTGTCTTGCTGTACCTGGGGTCATTGCTGAATGCAGAAGGAAAGTCTTTGATGGACTGCTCGCTCGTTATTGACACACAGCTGGGTTCTGAAGATGCTCCACTGGGTATTTTCCTGCCGATGATATTGACAAAAGCATTTAACTCCATTTTAAACCTCTCTGTTTTCTCTTGTTCCAAAGATCAGTGTAAGTGTCAGTAGTTTTACTGTCTTGCTCTACCTGGGGTCAATGCTGAATGCAGAAGGAAAGTCTTTGATGGACTGCTCGCTCTTTATTGACACACAGCTGGGTTCTGGAGATGCTCCTCTATTCATCTGGCTCTGATAAGCATCATCCTCTTTGTCCCCCTCCTGTATCCCCTCACGGTCACTCATTTTGGAGAAGTGTTACCCTCCTCTTTTTTTGTTAAAGGTTGTTAAAGGTTTTAAAATGACATACCGACAAACAGACACAAAACAAGAATACAGAGTGTTTATACTCTGACTGATTTAGTGTGGAAGAACATTATCTTCAAATGTACAATAACAGCAATCCTGCAGTAAAATCTGCAAAAACAAAACAAAACAAAAAAACCATTGCTCATTAAAACTACAAACTCTCAAACTTGAAGTAATATCTGTTCTTTAATCTGCAGGTTTCTTAAGTCAAATACCTTCAGCTTGCAGTTGATAAGATGGAAAAAAAAAAAGGTTCTTCTCCTTCTCTCAGAAGATCTTCTGTTGATCAAACTCTCAAACTTGAAGTAATATCTGTTCTTTAATCTGCAGGTTTCTTAAGTCACTGGTGCGACCACCGCGTTGTCCAACTCATTTTTTCAAAAAAACGAAAAACAAGAATTCAGCTTAAATTTTAATTTTTCGTTCAGGGGTAGAAAAATGAATAAACAGTTATCATGAAGATCTGTCAGACATCTGGAAAAAATATAAAGCTGAACGATTACATGCAACTATAGGTATCGGTCCTGTCAATTAACCCCAGAATGTCTCTGAAAGAGCCAAGACTAGGGGTGCAACAATATATCAAAGTATTCAGGGCTCCAGACTGCGACCATTTTTTTTCTGCCGATGCGAGTAATTTTTGTGAGCGGTCGCACTGGTGCGACCACCGCGTTGTCCAACTCATTTTTTCAAAAAAACGAAAAACAAGAATTCAGCTTAAATTTTAATTTTTCGTTCAGGGGTAGAAAAATGAATAAACAGTTTGAATATTCGATTTCTACATGTGGACGGGAATTAAACACCCCTTTCTGCTGACTGGTCAGCCGAAGATCAAACCATGCCATCATCAGTTCTTCCACAGTATCACGCAGCAGAATAATAGTCCTCCACTGCTGCAGTTGTAT